CATTACTCAACAACTACATGATATTATGAAAACAAGATTTTCTGTTATTCTTTGGAAAAGTCTAACACGAATAATCTTATTATTCAGATTAAGTCCGAATAATAATCGAAATAAAGAAGTATCCGGTACTTGCTGTTTTGAATTTTACTAAAGATTATCTTGAATAAGAGATCCAAATAAAACATTAAGTATTATCATACGAATTGTCTTGTTTTCTTATTGACCACATGAGAAGTTCTGATTGAAATTTCAAAGAAAAAAAAGAGAGAGAATGTTCTTTTCAAATGATTCATACAGTTTTTATTGCTTTTTTTTCTTTTCTATTTTGCGTCGAATTCTGACCTTTGAGTGTTCGCTTTGTCCAAATGATGCGCTATCGCATGGGACACGTGCATGTGCTTGGTGTGCCGATATATACGTTACGACTCGCTGCGCTTCTTGTTTCTTCTTTCCTCTTCCTCTCTCTATTGTTCTTTCCGTGTCGTCTCTCTCGCTTTGTTTCTCTATCATATATATTAGCTTGTGTTGAATGTGAAGTAGCTAATAAATATAAATGCCGAGTAGCGGCTAGCTATTCGTCCAGTCTGCCGTTACACTTGGTTTCATAATTAACGTATAACAATGATTGCAGAGTTTCATTTGCTCCTTAGTAAAGTATTGTATGAATTTCAGATTTAATTTCTTTATGGAACAAATCAAACGGCCATTAAGTAATATTTTCAAGCTTGATGATCAATGCAAGAGAAAAAAAATACAAAGTAAAACTATCTGTAACTTATTGTTGTTGCTTTTTTTGTTTTAAATGGAATTTTTTTTTCTCTAGTAACAACAGTTGAAGCAAACGGGAACGTCCACAAGTAAGAAATTTTTCTTTTTCATAACTTCCTCTTATTTGTCAAATTATTAAGAGCGATTTTTACAAATTTTGAAGACCTGTTTAATGAACTTCTATACGAAATATTCGAATATTTGGATATGTATGATTTATATAAAGCTTTTTACAATCAGAATATACGATTTCGAAATCTAATTGTTAATTCAAGTTTTCCAATGAAAATCAATCTTTCATTCATATCAAAATCAAATTTTGAACATTTCAATAACGACTTTATTCTATCCAATAGGCATCGAATTATTTCCTTTCGCGTATCAAATCCTATGTTTTATGATTTAAACGTTTCTCCGACTCACATAATATCAAAATTTTTTCAACTTAAAAGACTTTTTCTTGATCAAATTGAATCGACATACATGGAAAAACTTCTTCGTCAATTAGTTTCTCTACCATTTCTGACTTCATTAACTATCTTTTTGGTCGATCGTATTAAAAATATCAACACTTTGTATCTTCAAATATTTAATCTACCTGTATTAAAATATTGTCAGTTGTCATTGAATGATGGCTTGACAAAAGAATTATTACCAATCGCTACTAATCAATACAGTTCAATCGAACATCTCGTTATCAAAAATATTATAACCATCAATCAACTGATTAATTTATTATCGTATGTACCCCAACTTCGTCGTCTGAATATTGATTCACTACAACAACCTTATCATAAACAAATATGTTCTTTTGTGTTAAATCATTTGACACATGTTTCTCTTACATTGAAGAACATTAATTTTCATGAATTTAGACAATTCATCATAGATTTTTGTCTTACAATTTATGTTTTACGCATTACGATAAAACATTTTATAGATTCATCATACATGGATAATAGGAAATGGGAAGAGTTGATATCATCATATATACCAAATTTACGTATATTTGACATTCGATGCGAAAATTATTTGAATCATATTCATTCTTCCACGAATAATTTCCTTATTAATCAATCAGTACCAAACTTTCACATCAATAAGTTTACATCTTCATTTTGGATCGAACGGAGTTGGTTTTTTGCACAACAACAACATTATCAGTCAAAATATACAGATCCTACAATTTTCTATTCAACGGATCCATATAGGTAATTATTCTGGTGATTTTTAATTACAGTATGTATATTATTTGTATTTTTCAGAAGAAATACTTACACATTATATGAACAATTCGAAGAAAAAACTTGTTTAAATGCTTGTGATAAGAATCTGATGTTCGTTCGTCATGTTCATATTCAAAATAAAAGAGCAATGATAAATTGTAATTATTTTTTTCCAAATGTCTTTGAATTGACTATCAACAATGATTTCACTCAATCTTATGATTCGTTTTCAACTATTCTTAGAAATATCATTCCTTTAAAACAACTCAATAAACTAACCATCGGATGTAATTATTTTTCTTTTATAGAAATAATCGAACTATTATGTTTTATGCCAAATATTCATACATTGATATTTTTATCAATGCCAATGTTTAAATGCAATTATCATAAAATTAAACAAAATGAAAAGTTACAATTGTTATCCAATATGAATACTATAAGAGATATAACCATTATAGGACCATTGAAATCAGAAGTAAATCAATTGTTAATTAATTTATGTCAACATCTACAACATCTTGTAATTAATACGACTATATATGACTTAGAATCGGATGTTCGATTATTATTGAACAAATACCATTGTCATACTCTTCATTTTTGCTCATTGGGTTTTTTAAAAGCAACAACGTATTGGGCTATGAAATTGCAATCACTGATTCGATCCGAGAAATTACTTAATAACTATATATTAAAATTGGTAGATTCGAAGTTATATTTATGGTGGTAGTATGCATGTTTATCAATAAAAAATAGTTTCGAATAAATAGAAAAACTAATCATTGTGTAACAATTTTAAAATTCTAATGTTATCTGATTTTGAGAATAATCAACATTCCAAAAGGATTTTTAGTTCGAAAAGAAAAAGTTGTCATAAATTATTTTGATAAAAAAAAACAATTCGAACAGTATTAAAGTATAAAGCTGTAGAATTGTCCATTGATTTGTGCACGAGTTTAATAAAAGTTGATAAAAAGGTCGATTCATGCTCACGCTTTTAGTTTTATTTTATTTCATTTAAAAATTGTATAAATCGATTTCATTCGTGACATTGTTAAATTGATTTACGAGAGAATGGTCCAAATTGTCACATCACTTTTGAGTCGAGCGTATGGGCATCATGTAGATCTTAATGCTCTATGAATTCTCTGAAAAAAGTTCGTGCCGCTAGCTTCTTAGCATTTTTACTATATGTTTCAGAAAAAGCCGTGGTCCCTCTCAGGAACATCAAGAAAAGTGAGTTTTGAGTTTCCATCTGAAACGTTGCATGTAGATAGGCCTCAATGAGAATTGTTTATTGTGAAGGTTTCAGATTTTTTGATTGCTTCTAGTCTGAAATAAGAACATCGGATCTTCTGGTGTAAATGAGCAATTTTATGATAACTGTACCTTAGGATAGGAACAACAAAAAGAGCTGAAACTTTTACAGGGTGGGTGGGTGTTGGAGTCGGGTGTGGGCTTCATTTATACCCATATCCGCACCCACCCACACCCTCTTCAATAGGTAAAATTTGCATGCTCAAGATTCATGTATTATTGACCATTTCAAAATAAAATGTCATCAGTTGATAATGTTGATGGCTATTGAATGGGAATTTTCGCCACTCGAAAGAATATTCTCAAAGATATAAGCGGATTACAGAATCGAGATATATGAAAAATTTTCAGGAGACTTTTTTTAGAAAATGAATGATATTTATATCACAGTTTTGTAGCTTCATCCCAGTGACACGTTCAATAATATACTTTTACCTAGATACATAAGCGAATAGCATCATGATCACATGGCAAGGGCCGATTCGAATCGCTGAACTCACTTTTCTCTGTCATGAAGAATGATTTTAAAATTCTGATTTCATATTTAGAAACATTATTACAGACCTTCTCATGCTGCTTAATCATCATTTTTTCAACCTTACAAGGGATCGAATAAAAATCTAAATAAGGTCATCAAGAGTATAATAGTGTATATTTAAGTAGGAAAACTTCGTATAATATTATCTCAACAACAAAAGATTATATGTCGGTGAAACTTTCTCAAAAATTCACTTTTATGTTGAGGTTTCTCTTTTGATACCATCGCAATTCTAAAACTTTTTATCTGAAACCCCATTTTATAATAAAACATTCTCGAATGTTATCATATTCTATATGAGTCCTGCTCATTTCGGCAATTTAAGTCATCCGCAATTCATTTTTAAACAAAATACACGTGATATTCAGAATCCGTATCCAAATCTGAGCAAAATGACATGTGTTTTACTAAAATTTTTTTTTGTCAAAATTACGCTCGTACTTTCCTTCAGCGGTTTGGATGTGGGTGTGGGTAGGGTCTGAGTGAAAAGTACAACACCCACACCCAATGATCTGTCACAAAGGCAAGGTTTACATCTTATATGAAACCAAAATAATAAAGTATGTTCAGAAAATCTCTTCGTATTTACTACAGATTCAGCAAAGACACTTGACTATTTTGATTACATATAAGATATAGATCTCTCATTTGTGACAGTTCATTGCCATTAAAAGAGTACTATTATTGCAAAAAACAACCGTAGTTTTCTGATAGACTATCCAGGTCTACATGTATATAAGTAAAAGAGTGAAGCATCTTCCCACTACATGTAAACATTATTCCGTTATTCTAAATTATTCCTAATATGTTTGTTTCTCCATGATAAATATACAAACATACTCCGTTCTCCATAGGTAATCGTGCTCAACTTGATTAAATTCTGTTTATTCTAAAAGACTTTTGAAGATCAATTTAACTTCAAACAGATTTTCTATAGTCTTGACTATCGTTCTTTTAGTTTAAAAGACATTGAAATCTTTCTTTTAATTATTGCTAAAGAAATAATCATAGGTGAAAGCATCATTTCTATTAATATATATTAGATTAATTAAGAGTACAAAACAAACGAGCGAACAAAATAGATTTCATCGATAGTAATAAATAAATAAATAAATAAATACATAAAAAAAAAGAAAGAAGCAAATAGTTTAATCATCATCATTGTATAATAAATCAGAATCTATCTTTTCGAAATATTGTTGACGATTTGCATAACTAAGTTTCAACCACTGTGTAAGAATCGAACGCCAGCCATTGATTAAAAATGTAACATTACGTTGATCTTGTTCATTATTTATTTGTTCGAACCACATATCATTTACATATAAAAACAACGGATCATATCGAGATCTATCAATAAATGGTTGTTTACCAAATATAAAATAGATTTTCGTTAAAACATTAACAATTAAATTAAAATCTTTTTTCTTATCATCAGCTTCATTATCAGTTGAATGAGAACTCATTAATTTTTTAAGTTCAAGTGCAAATTTTGATGGTGGTTTAGGTTCAACTAATTCGACACCTATATGAAAAAAAAGACTAAAACGTTAAACTCAAAATGTTTTTCAATAATAAGAACACTTTTACCTTCATATCGAATTTTTTTACTAATTTGTTTAATAGCTAATTGAATTGTTGTTAATGATTGTTTTTTCCAATGTTCAATTGTTATTTGTTTAATCATTCGAGCTGCAGATAGTTGACATGCTGCTTCAACATAATCATAAAATAAGATTTCAATACCAGAATTTGAAAGAAATTTTATCACAAGATTAATATTTTGATAATTTTTATAAATATAAGTATTAATTGCATCAGATAAAGCATCACCTAATGCTAGTCGATATAAATCAATTGTTGTTAAACGATGAAGTTGTCGTAATGCACGTAAAGATAGTTTTTCATCGGATGCATTAACAACTAATGAAGCTAAAACATTATTGATGAAAAATGAAAATTCCTACAATAATAAACATTCGATTTTCATTCAATTTGAAAGATAAACATAGAATACTAACATAAGCTGTTAAATCCTTTCCAGCTTTCTCTTCAAGATCATAATCTCGTTGATCACGAGGCAAAAGACGTTGTTCATAGGCTTTCAGACGTAATGATCCAACATCAGGCATTTCATTTAAAATAAGATCTTCAAATATTGGATCAGCCATAAGTAATTTCTAAAAAACAAACATTTATTAATTTAATATTGTATATTTAGAAAAACAAAAAAAGGAGAAAATCAAAAATAAATATTAAAATTCTTTAGTTTTTAGAGCATTAGACATTTTTTAACCTGTAACTTGCATTGTGTTGATTTTACGGCATAATACCTTATACTTCGTGATCCATATTTTTTAAGTCGAATATGTGGTACTCGACTCTTCAGATATCGTGAATAATGCTTTTCTCAGGTGACACTAGACAAGATGTTTTCTATAGTCCAAAGTGAAAGAATAGCAATTTACTTTTACTAGAATCAAATCGTAAATTCCATCCAGACCTAGCGTATCTCACGAGATAGTCTATAATTCGTGCGCACAACGAGAAGCGATCGATCATTTAAAGTCGCAAATATTTATCAATTCTATTTTTGAGAAATCTCAATAGTGACTTATATATTTTTTTTAGTTCATTCTCGGCAACTCGAGTTGAATCAAATTAAGTCTTTATAAATTCACTGGAACAATTGCTAATATCGGAGAAAAACTGATTTTGATTAGTAACAAACTATCTTTGACTTCTGATCAAGTCAAGCTGATTTATGGGCATATCGAATCACAAAAGATTGACCCATGTTGAATACTAATATGAAATAAAATGAATCCTTACTTCAACAGGATACATATAATTCAATTGCACAGCTAATTCATGTAGTCTTAAACCAAGATCACCATGATCAACATTCATCAATTTTTTATCATTTGTTTTTTCAAAATAAGCACGTAATGTATATCGAATTTGATAAAGTATAGCTGGAACTTCAAACCACAAAATTCCACTTTAAAAAAGAAAAGAAAGAAAATTTTTAATCTATATTTAATTAAATTTCTGTTACTCTTCGAAAATTTGTTCGAGTAATTTTAAACCTTTTTTTGCCGTTGCAACCGGTTTTCTCCATCGTTTCATACATTGAACCTTTTTTTCTATTAATAATTTTAAATCACGATAATCAAGAGCATTTTGTTGATGATTATTAATTGCTTCTTTAATAAATTCTTCAGCTTGTTCAATAAAACCAAGATGATATGCACAAATAGCTGCACGATAAAATCCTTTGAAATTTTCATTTCGTTTTAATTTCAATGATTGTTTAGCATCTTCATAACCACAATAAAAATCTTTATCTTGTATATAAGCAGCTGAACGATTTAAATATAATAAATATAATGGAATAACATTTTCTTCTTCAAGTTTATTTTCAATAAGTTTAATTGCTTCACTGTACGATTGAATAGCTAATAATGATTGATTATTTGAATAATATCGATTACCCTGAGTTTTATATTCCAATACTGTTAATGACATATTTTCTTTTTGTTTTAAGTTAATCGTCAACTTTAATTCTAAAAAGAAATTATGCTAGTGATGTCATGTGGCATGATAAAAGATAAAAAAAATCATTGAATGCAATCACATCGATAAATGCGTTCTAGATATGTGTTCGTTGTTTCTCTTTTCTTTGCGCATTCATTCTATGACGTCATCTCTTACATTATCCTATACTTAGACTAATCTTAAATTGAAACTAATATTTTATATATATAAATCGAAGTGTATTTCTACAAACGATATCTTCAGAATCTAAGTAATGAACGCAAAAATTTTCAATCGTGATGTATTATAACTTACGGACTGACTATCTGCCACTTGATAAAGATAATATTTTCTCTTCACTAAAATGAACTGGTAATAAGAAAAACAGACGAATATATTAGTATAAAATTACAAAGAATTCTATATGATACGAAAGAAACGAACATAATTATAATAGATATCGCTAGTAAACACATATATAGAAACGAATAAATACAATCTTTATGATCATTTTCGATATTTTCGATTTATACTTTTCGTTTTGAAGAAAATTGTGAGAGCAAGCCACATTTCATACTTTTTGTCATTTAAATGAAAAATGATACGAAATGTTTCATCAATCTTAAGCTTTTACAGAAGCCAGTAATATTCAGAGTGGGTGTGGGTGATCTTCAATATTCGAAGAAGAAATATGTAAAAAAATGATACTATGCTCAATTATCTGAACCATGTATTAGTGAACTAGAGTGTTTTTTATGTATTTTCTTCAAATGAGAACATTTTAGAATAGTTAGAGAGAAAAAAAAAATCTTCAAAATATTTTCTCTTAAGTTATAGATTTTATATTGACTGAATAACAAAAGTCACGATGTAATCACTAACAATTTTATTAAAAACGAAAACAATTACTATTATGAAGCTAAATATAGACAAATGCACCAAATTGAATAATCATTAGCGTGATTAGCAAACATTTGACTGATTTATTTCAAAACTTTCAAACGTTTGTAAAACTTTTCATAAAAATCTATAGCGAAAACTCAATGATTTAACCGACTTTCTGCACATTTTTACAACTATTCTATGCAATGCACAATCAGTAAGCAAAGCTTTCTACAGTTCAAAAATGCATGTCTATAAAGTTTCGCACAGAAAATCTAGAAAATGAACGGAATTGTGGCGAAGAATTCAGCGAGTGAAAGTTCCAGAATACTGTAAATATCGACAAAAGCTTTTAAGCACGATGATGTTTTGAATGTTGTTTTTTTCTCAAAGAATTCTTCATGGAGGAAGGGACGTCCATAAGCAAGTATTCACAACAGATAGATGTTACAATACTATTTTTTTTCATATGAAAGGTGGACATTAGAATAATTAATAGAAATTATGACAAACACATGTTATGAAGTATGCTAGTATCTGATATCATTTTTTTTGTCTACCTTTAACGAAAAAAATGCTCTTCATATAAATCTATATACAGATATGATTATGATGTTATTTAAAATTTTTCTACTTGTACTTTAATAATATAATATGTGGATGTATCAATAGCGTCACAATAACATTATGCGGATGATAATTAAATTCTAATAAATATTTTTTCTTATATCTCTAAACCTTAATTTATTTATCGATGTTTCTTTTTATGTTCAATTTGATAATTGTTTTCCAAACATATTAGAAACAATGCTAAAAACTTAGTTTCAAAAGTTTTTTTTGTCTATTTAAAATAATGATAAATTATTTTCATTGATTTGCCTTTCAATTCATGTATGTTTACTCTAGTTGAGTGAAAATAAGTGATGTGTGGATATAAATAGTAACATAAGAAGATGATTTATGTGAATTCATTCTTGATGGTTTAATAAAAACAAACTGCAATCAAGTTAGTGTTAGTAATGTAGAATTTTTATGGAAGATGAATGGTTCATTTTGTTTAGATTTCAGCCAGCAAAAAAAAAAGAAATTTCATCTAGATTTTATAACAATTGGAAAAAAAAACCTTTTATTCCTTCATTAATTAATTACTGAAACAAGTTTACATGGCATCGAAGACTGAGAGTACAACGTGTAAATCAATTAGAATGACCTTGAGATAAACAGAGATGCATGGAGTTGAATTTTTATGAATCAGTAAAAATTTGAAACAACTAGCTTTAATTCTATCGTATATTTTCTATTAAACCAACTTGAAAAGATTTTCTTAACTTCTATCATGATTGCCATATAAAGAACGATGAATGTCAGAAATGTGCATGTGAGCTAGTTTCTTCTTATGAATATTTATGAATGCATCTATAAATATTGAAGTTTGCAGAAGTACATTAAAAATAAAAACAAAAATCTCACAAAGCAATTTGGATCTCTGAAAAGCCTTACACCGTTCTTTTTTTCTAGATATATTATAGTCAGTATACCGAGTAGTGTCACAGATCCGAAAAATCGAAGATCTTAGAGATCTCTAAACAGATCTCTAATATACTAATGATATTACAACACAATATTGAACTATCATACAGTAATGATATTCTTTTTACCATCTCGAACTCCTTAAGGGGATACCACATCTCTACAAGAGATACCGAATCTCTCATCATATCTCTGTAAGAGATGCCTCATTTCCAAGATTTGCATCTCTAATGAAAACTTTTTTTTAATTTTAGCCTCGGGATGATGCTAGAGATGCATCTCCAATAAGAAGATTCTTGTGTGTGTGTTTATTCACCTTCACCCACAATGCGAAGATGCGTGCGCGTGTGCATATGCCCTCACCCTCAATAAAGAGATGGGTGTGTGTCCATTTGCCTTCACTCTCAACGAGAGATACGGTATCTCTATAAGAAGATGCATCTCTAACATCCTTCAGAGGCTAAAATAAAAAAGAAATTTTTTTGTTAGAGATGTAAATCCTAGGGATGCTGCATCTCCTACAGAGAATTGATTAGAGATTCGGTATCTCTTACAGAGATAATTGCTAATATCAGATATGTGTAATATATGAGTAGGGTGAAAATGCTGGTATATTTGAAATCTCCTTAGAGATCTCTAAGATCCTCGATTTTTCGGATCTGTGACACTGCTGAGTATACAAAAACAATCAAAACTTAAGAACATGACATTCGTTGGCGATTCTTTTGTCATTCTCATCCTTTCATTCTAGTTTGGTGAAATAACAATCAAGGAACTTAATTCAACACTTTTTCACCAACATCAAGACACTCTTTAGAAATGAATTGACAGGATAAATTATTGTATTGAATATGGCATGGACAACTTTGAAACTTTACTATTAACAGATTAGCAGAATAGTTTTTATATGAATCAACATTCGAAAGTGACGGAGTTTTTGACCAATATATATTTTTTTTTAGTTGATATTGCTCTATCATTTGAGAAAAAAATAAGTTTGATGAATCTTTGAATATCTTCACTAGATTTATTTATTACTAGCTTACTCTATTAAATTGGTTTGCTTGAGTATCTTTTTTATTTAAAGAAGTTTCACATGTATCTTGATTAATCCATTTTTTCTTTACCTCGAATTGAACTCTACTTTTAGTTGTTGATTTACGTACGAATGAAAATATTTATTATCAAGAGAAATATTGTTTATAATTAATTATTTGAATGCATTGAAACAAAAATTGAAATTAAGACACTATATCATCACAATCCTTCCAGAAGAAAAAGCAGCTTTGAATTATATTCACTTCTTTTAATCAGTTGCTAATGAACATTTGGATTACATAGGAGCATGTACTCTGTATCAAAAGTATACTATTAAATATTTTCTAATTGAATAATATAGGTTTTTTAACCATTCATCACAAGCTACATGTTCAAGTAAGAGAGTGAACCATTGCTTTCTTTATCCTAGCTAATTATTGTTTTCAAAAAACATTGTTGCTTTTCTTTTCATATATAGTATTTTTAAAAGTTTTTTTGAGAGAATTAGAATTCATATAAAAGTGCCCTCTTATTATACATCCAATATTATTTACCAATATATAATTTTGCACTCTACTCTCTCCCTCCCTCCGACAGCCACCATAGTATCTCTCGTTTTTTGCTTGTCAATATTTTTTCGGGTGAATTAATTATTACTTTATGTACAAACATAAAAAGTTTCACAAACAAAATTCTATAGTGGGCTCATGTAAAAAATATACCGTTATTTGCCTTTTTCTTTGTCTCTGTCCTCTGCTCTATATCCATCCATCCAGGTTCGATTGATCCCATATAGATAATGATCAACTGGCAGCTTTTTTTCACTTCTAACTTTTATCGATAAGTGCCCTGTCCACATTAACGCTACACAAATGATTATGTCTTCAATCAAGTCGATCTTAATCAAGATGGATGTATCGATCGCGGTGAATACCGTAATTTTCTTAGTGATTCGATGTATTTGCAAGTATAATGTATATGTTAATTGATGATAATCGTTGCATTTTAAAGGTCGAAAACTTGATGTTGGTACTACAAACTATGAATTGGGAGCAACTGATACTGATATTGGTGATGTGTACGATTTCTCATTTATAGTTGGTGATGGTGTTGACACTGGTCTTGCTAGTAGTTACTAAACAGTCGTTGGCGGTGCTGGATATATTGGAGATACCTTACACAAAATGTTCGAGTTCAATTTTTTCAACCACCTGTTCCACTTTCAAAAGTAAGTCATTTCTATTAATCATCATAATCTATATTATAATATTTAATCCTTTTTTTCACACAGTCTCAGTACAGAAGTTTGTCCACTTCTTCCTCCACTATGACCACGTTAGTAATCTTTTCTTTTTCTTTCTAATGTTTTTATTGTATTATTCATTTACGTTAGGTAGCATTCTCATGGAACATTGGATTCTGTATGAATTTCAACTAAAAGGTCATACTATTTTTCAACGTGCTTCTCCTCCAGTACTATACCCACCTCCACGCAGTGTCATCATTCAATAGGATCAAGCTCCAATTCGCTTTCGTTGTAACTTCCTACGCTTTGGTGTTAGTACAACTAGTTCAGCTGCTTACCTTCAAGCACACAGTGCTAACCTTCTTGACAATGCTTTACTCATCCGACAAAGCATATGTCGTAGTGATTCTTAAAATCATAAAAAATCATCGTAAGTCATATAAATCATTCAATACCAATCAGTTGTCTAAATTTTTTTCTATACACTATTGTTTATGAGAAATATTTCAACATGAAATGTTAGTTGTTTTTCTAAAGAATAAATTTAGTGGGCCGTATTTTTCAAGTACTATTCAAATTCATTTCTATCATTGGCATGTTAGCAGAAAAAAATTGTGAATCTATTCGCAAAGTTTTGAAATAATCAATATTAGTTATGCGACAGCCGTAGTGTAGGTTATAGGGCGTCAAATTAGATTTTTCGAACACAATCGAATGAAGTTGCTTATAATCAGGTAGTGTGAGTAGAATGTGGATGTTAGATTTTTCTCTCTAAACATCCATAAACACATATCCATAGCCTTGTTCTATATCTTATAATTGGGTTCATGAGCAATGCTGAAGCATGATCTTAACAATGAAATTATATCTGACGCTAACATCAAAAAAATTGTTCATAAAATGTTTGATTGAATATACCAAACTACTATGAAATTCATTTAACAAGATTTTATTGAAATGAAAAGTTTTAAAACGTTTATAATTATTGGAACTAACTATCTTTCGTGTAGAAAAAGACATGTTGGAAGTTTTTCGCCATGTTGTCTTATGTCGTATATAAATTTTTCCGTTCTGCTTATCTCTATATATATAAATATGCGTGTGTATTCGTTCTATTATTACCTGTCCAATAGTACATTTCTTTTGTATCTCATAATTTAGTCAATCATCTAAGTATCTTCGTGTTTTTTATTACTTATCTGCTTTCTCTCACTTTAGACCGCAGTATTACTAATGAAACTGACGCATCAATAAATGTTCAACTTTGAATCAACGAGTACAAAAACATAAAATATCCAAAATACACAGGTATTTAAAAAGTAAACATGCTTCCCTTAAATATTGTTTTTTTTTTGTTTTTCTTAATGCCTAATAATGAAGTAGTATCCATATATTTATATTTTAATAAAACTGTTTGACATTTATTCTATATCGTTGAATAAATGGAATACGGCTCTGTATAGAATATCTGCTGAACTCTTGTCTTTCTTTGTTAGGGTTTCAAATTTCAAGAGGATAAACCCATCACGTAAGAGTAAATCATTATTATTTGTCGTTGACGATTTGATCCTATAGATATACAAATCGAAGCAAAACATCTGTCTTTTCGAATTGTTCCTCCTTTTCTATGAAACTTAAAAAAGAACTATATCTTTCAATTTTTATTTTCATAACAATATATAGAAAAAAACGACTTTTACAAATATAATATTGACGTCATTCAGCAGTAGCACAACCTACGACATTATACATATCTTAGTATTTTTTTTGCATCGGTTCTTTGATCTTGCTTCAAGTTTTAGTAGAAATAACAACTAAGACAGATTAAAAGATCGTGTTTTCGTATGTCAGGTTTTTATTACTGAATACATTTCAAGAAGGAAAAAAATATAATAAAACTTCTTTAACATGAATATTGTTAGAACTAGTCCTTAGTTGGTAGAGATGTTCATTATTGAAGAACTTATAGTATCTTTTCTTTTCAAAATGATAGTTATTCGTTTAAAATTAATTTCCATTGTATAAGTTTATATTTTTTCTTGTTGTCGACTTTTCAAAATATTATTTAGAATATTTCTTGATGTTTGATATATGATTAATAAAACGTTCTTTTATTTCTTTATTTGCATGGGCAGTGAAATACACATTGTTCATGCTATAGAGATTTTTTTTATTCACAGAACTGAAACATGTGCTTGCTGCTCTGAATAACGAGATGTTTACAATCAAAAAATTTACTTTCAGCAAACTTCTTTCAGTCGGATTATTAAGGCTGTGTTTTTTGTTATATATTTTTTAAGAATGTATATTACATGAAAAAGAGATCAATTAAGCAAAAGGCAAAGATTGCGTCGTAGTGACGAAAATCTTCGTACCACATTTTGATTTATTTGAATATAAAAACACTGCACAAGAAAGATAAGTTTTGTTTAGCAGCAGGTCCATAGCCAGCGGGATGCGAGAGGACAGGTGCGCCCTTTTGGCCGAAAGAGATCTTGAGAGAATACGAGTAAAGAGTGCTTCTTCCACGAAAAACGATGTTCCTACTATAGTGCTTCCTCCTTACAAAATTTCTGGCTACAAGACTGTCCAGCGCATTATAGATCCTCTATTTTTTACATCATTTGATGCATTTTATTTAGTGTCTTAATATGATCTGTTAAAGAATTGAAAAAGGGTGTGGCTGTGGGTGTGGTGTGTGTGGTTGGGTCTGGGTATGTGGGTGTGGGTGTGAGTGTGGGTGTGGGTGGGGTGTGGATGTGTAGGATGTGAGTGGGGTGTGGGGGTGTGTGTAGATATGGGTGTCAGAGTGTGAGTGCAGGATGTTCTTGAACAATTACCCACACCCACACCCACATTTACCCACACCCACCCACCCACACCCCACCACACCCACACCCCACACCTACCCACACCCACAAGCCGATCTACCGGTAGACCTGCCGGCCCGGTCTGACCGGTATCGGTACCGACCGTCAAAAATCCAGACCGGTTCCACCTCTGAATGTAACACCCTCAGCAGGGACCACGTTAATATCACATCACACAAAAAAATTGTTGTATTAATACCAGGTGGTGATACGTATGAATTGGGTCGAGAAGACATGTTAAAATTAACTCATATGATGGTTGTTACTATACCAAACGATATACAAAGAAATTTTCCTATGAATTGTGAAGTAGAAAACAAGTTTGCTGGTGTAATTGCTTTCCGATCGCACGGTTCATTATATTTAAGTTTAAACGATCTTGCACTGATGTAAAAACGATTCATGTTCGTCGTAAGTAAAAACGAATAGCACCGATAACATTTCGATATGTACTTTTTAGGACCAAAAACCAAGGCATGAATAATGTGATAAACGAACATTTCGCTTTACTGTAATAAAGCTTTGATTAAATTTTCAAGTTTAAAAAGAAGAAGAAAAATAAAACAAAATAAAAATATTTTGTTTTTTATTTTTTATTTAAAAAATTTAACTCCATTGTATATTGTTAAGGTTGATGGTATTATTAAATAGACTTACAGTAGAGTATTCTATAAAAAGAATATGAGATCAAGATTAAAAATTGAATTGAATTGATAATTTAAAAATAAACTACTGTAGAATGAATCTTTAAATATATAATTCTATTAAGGATGTGTGGATGTCAGCCTTCTTTTCACTCATACCGACAACCACACTCACACCCTCCTCTGATTTCTGAATCGTCAGATTATATAAATTATAAAAAATCGTAGTCAATAAGAAAACTTTCATAGCTAGTAACGATTAGAGGTTCATATAAGTTTTTTCTTCTTATTTTCATATTAGAACGTTTGTATTCTTTAAAGACCTTATTTTTCCACTTCTTATTCAAGATTACAATAAGAGCATTAACTTCGATTAATGTTGAACTTTTGTACTCGGTGGTTTCGATTTTCACACACATAAAGATTGCCATCTCGATCAAATGATAAACCCGTAGGGGCATAGATCTGATTCGATTGATTTCCTTTACCATTTTCACCAACAATAACTCTTCCTACTAGAGAGCCTTGACGCCAACGAGTTATTCGATCATTCGCATAATCAGCAACATATACGCTACCTGACTGATCTACAAAAATTCCATAAGGATTTGATAATTGTGTAGGTCCATTTCCTTTATTTTTACCACCAGCCACAACAATACCTTGTTTTGCATCTTTCATCCACTTCATCACACGATAATTATTTTCATCGGACACATAAACAGAATGATCTTGATCGACAAATACGTATGTCGGATTATTCAACTGATCACAGTGATTTCCTTCTCCATTTCCACCTGCAACGACAGTTCCTTCATGTTCCCCTATTCGATATCGTCTAACTTCGTGTTTATCAAAATCAACAACATACAGTAATCCATCATTGTCCATTGTTAATCCACAACATCCAATATTTGAAATGATTGTTTCTCCATGGATAGCATTTTGACGCGACCATCGAACTACTCTTTTATTGTCATAATCAGAAATGATAAGACTATTTGTTTTCTTATCAATAGTTACATCTCTTGGACTGCTTAATTGATCAGAACGATTTCCTGATCCATTCCCACCGGCTACAACTCGACCACTTGCAGCACCATTTTTCCATTCAACAACACGATGATTTCCGCTGTCAGCAATGTAAATAGTTTGATCATCATCAACACATAAACCCCATGGATAGTATAGTTGATTCATTCCATTGGCCTTTCCATTTCCTCCAGCGACGGTAACACCATTTTGTCTCCATTTTGTGTTCAGATTCAAAGATGGAATCTGTAACCTTGGTGCTACAACATAAAAAATAATGTTTTTTTCCGTTGATAATGAAATAATGTATGATGAAGAAAAATCATATTACCAAAAGACATAAGTTTTGATTAGGAGACTTCATTCAAGACCATCTATTCGAGATATTGATCGTTTGTTTTCGAAAATAATATTTCTGGAAAATAGCTACAAAAGATGTTAGTCATATTTCAATTTTGCTTAGGTTCAGTTTGATATTTTTCATGCTCTTAAAGAAAAATAGCTTAATTTTGTTTTTAAATTTAATTCGAAATATTATGTGAGAATTAAATTGGTACGACGAAGAAAAACCCTATGAAATGAAGAAACGATCGATAAATTCATTGAAAATTATTCTATTAGAAGAAGAAACTTTCGAGAACGACATGGAGAGATCTGCAGTTCAACAAGATCTGGAACCGTTTCTTTTATATATGATTAGTGGCAACGAGTCTTTTTTTCAAGAGACTATTGCAAAAGAAAATATTCATAATTCATGTCATGTATGACCGGATATCGATTTCGAAGTCGAGATACGAATTTTGTAGTCAGCAACATCACCAATCATAATCCATACCCAACCTACTGTCAATCATAGATCCACAGACCTCTAACGATATGTTTACATGTCTAATTTCTACTCAATCGTTCTTCAACAATTATATTTCATCTACAGGCGATTGTCGAATATAGAAAGAAACTCATTTATTTCTCGGTAAAAACAACTTTTAGAAAATAGTAATGTTCTTAATCTGTTTGAAAGTAAAGTTTCGATAATATACAGGAAATAGCAAGCGAACTCAGTATAACACAGAAATCGATACTCGTCAGTATTATCAATAGAAGCAACCTCAATGATGATCAAACAGTACATATCTAGAAAATAATCGGTTTCACTTAATGAATGAAACACTCGATCAATTTCTTCTTTCCGGTTAAACTTAGACACATTTCTGTTATTTCTTACCTCTGACGCAAAGAATTTGATTCCAATCGATTTGACCATGATCTACAATAATGCTTTTAGTTGTTTCCGTTTCGAGAAGTTGTTGAACTGATTCCCGAATTTCATTGATTTTCATTTGAAGTCGATCAATATCAGTTTCAACAAAATTTTCTTCATTTCGACAAGTTTGAATTTCTTTTGTTATTGTTTCAAATTGTTTTTTTATTTCAGTTCTTTGCTTATCGATGAGTTCAGTAAGTTCATGACGAGCTCTATCTGCTGCTTGTTCGACTTTTTGGATTGTAGTCTTCTTCCATTGTTCAATTTCGCCGAAAAGATCCAATGATACATTATTTGATTTTTCCAATTTTTGAATTTCATAAAGAAGTTCGTCATGAGATCTCACAATTTCACTATCAAATTTTACAATTAATTGTTGTTCGTGTTCTCTAAAATCCTTCGGACAAAAATATTCTTGACATCCAGTGCAAACATATTTAGCCGGTGGTTTATGGCATTGAGAACATAAACGAGATTCACTGCCTGTTGCCATTCCTTGTACGTAAAGAATCGTCGAATTATTTAGTAAATGAAATAATTTGTATCTGAAACGAATTCATTAAAATATTTATTAAAAATTTTATTCAGAGATTTATTCAATATTTATTTTTCATCTATCACAAAGAACGTGATTTCTATTACAACTCAAGTTTAGTTCAATAAAAACGTGGGGAAACATTAGATGAATCTTTGATAGAGACTATCTAAATGTGTATGACTGAATAAATGCACAAAATTTAACGAAACGTATAGTCTTATATATATCGAATAGATTATTTTTGAGTATAAAGGAAAAGTGGCCTGTTCTGATGTTAGTCAAAGTTCGATAATAATGATTACTTTGAGATAGCTCCTAATGATGATTAGTTGCAATTTATTTCACACAGAAATTTGATGAAATACTTATGTTTTTGCTGTAAATGAAAGCTTCGGTATGGCAAATGACGACTTATGCAATAACATGCAAAACAATATGAAGTCACATGCTCGTTCGTTTTCTTTCAAAAGAAAAGAATAGGAAGAGAATAGAGAAAAAAGAGTGGGGGGAAGGTGTTGCCTTCGAAGCTATAACAATGATAAAGTAAATTTCATATATTTTTGAAAAACATTATTAATTCTCTATCTAAAAGAAAAAAACTCATTGCATATCGTAGATCACAGAGGTATATATTTCTAAATCAGGGATGCAGACAGCAAATTTATTTTTAAAAACCAGAATCTTTTATAAAAATCAGCAATAACAAACTTTATCCTAATACTGTTTTTTGAGGTGAAATAGTCATAGTTGGTTGCAATTAACACGAGAGACTACCGGAACATATTTTTTCAGAATTTATTTCCTCTACGGCATTTATTCATTGATTGATGATTTCTTAATTATGATGAAACTTCAGCCTACTTACACCCACACTAATAAGAACACCATTACACTTTTACGCACAGACACGCATATACAATCACCCACATCATATATTCAGTCAAGAATCATATGGGATCTATCTCGGTATACACAAGCGCTTATTCGTAAGTCCCAATAAAATAAATCCCGATAGCTGTTCATCAATCTGTGACTAACAATAATAGCTACATCATGTTTCACGTTGAAAAGTCTTTATTATTTTGTTATGATAAACGAGATTATTATTATGACAAAAAAAAATTCTGCGCAGTTACTGATCTTCATCAGACTGGATGTGGGTGTGGAGAAGTATTCATATCCACACCCCACAAATATCTGTGAGATTTGTTAAGATAATAAAAACTTAAACTAATTGTTATCGGTGTCGCAATATTTCTCAATTTTAAAATTGGATCGGTTCAAATTTTTAAACAAAACCATCAGAGTTTTCACCATTTTCTTTTCGTAAGTATGATAATAAATAACTACATTCTACTGATGATTATCAGATCATGCTATATATATGAGTGAATTTCAATCTTTTGGTAGGATTGATATGACAAACTGAAAATAGACCTACACTATTGCTGAACAGTGGATTGTACAACAGTCCATGCTTATGTTACATAGCAAAAGGTTCTCAACTTTCTTCAACGTAAATGTATCACAAAAAAATGTTATTTTAATGAAAAAGTTCTTCTACTGTTCATCATGTGACGTAAATATCTGGAGAACAATAAGAGATAGACAACTGATTTTTTTACTTCTCATACAACTCTAAGAAATATATCTACAGTAAAAAATTCAGTGAAAACGGATGAATTTTTCAAAAGTTATTCGTGATAAAGTTTTGAAAATGTCGTTCTACAAAGTGAGTGAAAATAGAAATCTTCAGAAAAAGATCGATTTTTTATCGGAAGAAGTTTTTTTTTTTATTAATTCGTTCGCCGCGCGACGATCTTTATTTTGAATACTTTCTCTTCTGATCTATTCGTAGATAGACAGAGGAAATTGAAAAATAATATCATTCTACACAAAAATGAATAAGTATCTGTCATAAACTCTCTTGGACAAATGGACATTATTAGAAATACGAAAAATATATAATTCGCTAGAACACTTCACGTTCTACAAAATGGACTATTTCTTATTTTTTTTCTACCCTCTCATGCTTAGAAAGTTTCTCCTTCGTCGCATATGCCTGTCAAAAATACGACTTTTTCACAATCCAGCGATAGGATGAACTAAAAATCTGAAATTTCGTGTGGTACTGGGATGTTGCAAGAGAAATAACATATAAAAAAATTTGTCCAAATCAGTCCGAAAGAGCAAAAGTTATAAGCCAAGTACACCTAGAAATTAAATCGCACTAAAACGTTGTAATTCAGTTATATATTGTTTATAGTCAGAAAAGTTAATCGAGTCGTTCGGAATTAAATTCGATGTAAGATAAAGATTTTTCAGTTAAATATTTCATATTAGCTTTTATGAAGTAGTTTCAGTCAACTATTGAAATTAATCTGTGTTTAGTAGTTTCGTTTGATTAAATAAATGTCAGAAAAGATTTTATTTCATGAATAAAATTCTAGTCAATTGTTATTTGATGTCACTCGAACAATATCAAAATTCTACTATTAATCATTTGAAAAACTTTCATTATTTTTAATATTTATACATGAAAATTGTTTAATTTTCTATAAACAAAAACGTCTTTTATGTTTATTGAAATAAAAACAAATATATTGTTAAATATAATTTGTTGTCAATTAACCTTTGAAAAAATTGTTCGAATAATAATTTCAGAGAAAATTTCATAGTGTTTAGATAAAGTTCAAGGTGATAAGTTTTGAAAATAATGTAAATTTCTTTTTCTTTGACTAAAATAATGATAAAGAATTCGAAACAATAGGAAAAATAAAATGAATTTTTTCAATTAAACTTTCAAAAATCTAATGATATATGATCATATTCCATCGATATTTATATTGTTCAACCAGATTTTTATCGAAAGTTTTATTAGAAGAAAATATTTGAGATAATTAATAAACAATTAAAAATAAATAAATAATATTTATCAAATTAATTTAATTAACATAGTTTTGTATAACCAAAGAAAAATAATTCTTGAAAGTAAACATTGATTAATCAATAATTATGTATTAGAAATTTCTATTTTCTACTATTCGAAATAAATATCATATTTTATTTTCGACAGTTAAACAATAATATTCATCATCAATCATCGACTAAGAACTTTTTTTTTTGAAATCATTTTTAATCATCTATAATACACCCGACTGTTGCAATCAGCCCCCAATCTTAAATAGTTTTCTTTTTTTCATATGAAAATTTGAGTAGTTTCTCATTTTTTTTTTGCTCACTAATTGAAGAGAACAGTCCTTTACCTCCCCAAAATCGGTCTTTTTAGCAAAAATTTTTCAAACGATTTTCCAAGTGATCGACTCTCTCCCGTCCCCAATATTTCTGACCTCGTGATAGTCCTGATAATATAATTTGTTTAGTTAAAAATAGTCAATAAAATGAATAATTAATTAATTGAAAAAGAAATCTTATATAATTGATAGAGCTATATCAAGTAACGACGAATTTTAAATTATTCTATTCAATAGTCTTAACAAATCATCCTTTCATGTCGTTGTTGTTCTTTTTTCTTTTCCTACCATAATATAAACTAAATTAATTCATGAATACCAATAAATTAAAATATTTTATGATATTATTTAAAAATGAAAAAGAAAAAGACTTAGTTATAATTCCAATCTAATAAAGGAAAGCCATTTCCATCTAAAAAAGCATCAGCTAATAATCTAATCCAATCGACAATCCACCATATGCCAAAACCTCCAAGTGTAATTAATTTAATAATACCAGCTATGATATAAGCAGGATTTGAAACACTTAAATAAAACCAATCAACACCAAAAAAACCAACAAAAAAAGAAAGAAGAAAAGCAGTTAATTTTAGTTTTTGTTGATAAGTACATCCTGTAGATAAATCAGTTGTAATCCATCCTTTTGAACAAATACATTCATTTAATAAACAATAGCCATTTGGTAAATTACATGTTTTATCATTTGAACAAATTAGTTTATATGAAGAATTTTTTGTTTCACTTTTTTTCAATATCATTAACACTATTAACATAACGACAAGTAATTTATTCATTTTCAATAGAACTATATTCATTTTATAAAAGAATATTCTTTTATATATATACATATATTTAATATCGATCAAGACTAAATATGTATTTATTTCTAGATTTAATTCAATATAAAGGAACAGATCAATAAAACACATTTATATAATAGTCTAGAGAGAAAAAAAAGTAATCTTTTACATCTTTCACAACAATTCATACTATTCATATTGTTAGAATTTTGAAATACATATTATCAATTCTAAAAATCTTACATTAAATTCGAACAATTCATATCATAATCATTTGAAATTACTCTAAATAATTGACGTCAAATATATCAGTTAGATTTTAATTAACAACTTATTATTTATATCAGATTGGAATATAAGTTCTGCACGTTTGGATGAGTAAAATTCTATTGGCAATATAAAAAGAATTATTATACATTCTGATAGCGCTCGGAATTCTCTGTCACCCTGTGTATTTATTTGCTGAAAAATATATCAAATACATTGAAGACACCCTCATCTGCATTGACAATGTTTGAAATATGTCTCGGCAAATAAGTTCAAGTCAAGACTTGAATATACACGATAATAGAGCATTTCAAAGGCTCGTAGAGTATATAATTACGAATTACTCTAAAGACAAAAATTTTAAAAACAGATTAGAGTTCGTGAGAATTTTCACTGTATTAGAAATATTTTTCAGCAAATAAATATAAGTTAACAGTTAAATACACAATTCCGAGCACAATCAGAATATATACAATTAATTTCCTTAAAATATAATTTTATATTGTCAATAGAATTCTACTGATCCAAACATGCAGAATTTATGTTTCAATATGATATAAAAATTAAGATTATTCATGCTAATCGGTGAAAGACAATTCTCTTTATTTGATATGGCTGCGAAACTAACAAACTTTGTTTGTATTATATGAAGCTAAGAAGAAATAAAATATGTTCCCTTAAAGACAATCGATTAAGAATATGAGAAATGAAAAATAAAACCTATAAGATCATATTGTTTGAGATAAAACTGACGGAAAAGAGTGGGTGTGGGTGTGGGTGGGTGTGAAGGGTTCCATGAATTTCGGCCCGGACTTTCGGCCCGGTCCGAAATTCCGGTGATTTTTCGGCCCATGACCTCATTGACCCTAGAATTAAAAACCTAATTTTTCAAAATTAGTTGCCAGACAACGTAGTGCTGAGCAAGACGTCATAGTGATCAGCGATATGTCGTAGTGCTGAGCAGGACGTCATAGTGCTGAGTAGTATGACGTAGTGGTGAGCAGTATGGCGTAATGCTGAGCAGTATGGCGTAGTGCTCAGCAAGATGTCCTAGTGCTCAGCGATATGTCGTAGTGCAGAGCACGACGCCATAGTGCTGAGCGGTATGGCATGGTGCTGAGCAAGACGTCATAGGGCTGAGCGGTATGGCATAGTGTTGAGTAGTATGACGTAGTGCTGAGTAGAGGGTATGGGGTGTGGATGTCTCTTCCTTCAACATCCACACTAACCTACACCTCACTCACAGTCACAACGACACCTACGCCATACCGCTCAGCACTATGACGTTCTGTTCAGCACTACGCTATACCGCTCAGCACTATGACGTCCTGCTCAACACTACGATGTCCAGCAACTAATTTTAAAAAATTAGGTTTTTTATTTTAGGGTCAATGAGGTCATGGGCCGAAATTCCTTGTGGACTCTCGGCCCGGCCCGAAAAATCACCGGAATTTCGGACCGGGCGGAAAGTCCAGGCCGAAAATTCCGTGGGCCGAAATTCTGGTCTCCCGGTGTGCGTAGGTGTGGATGTGTATGTGGGTGTGTGGGTGTTGGTGTGGGTGTTAGATCGAATACAAAACAGCTACACCCACACCCTTATGTTGCTTTTGGTGAGAAAACGTCAACAATGTTCAAAATAAACATAGGACTCCCTTAAGGAAGTAGTTTAAGCCCATACTTGTTCATAGTATTCTACTGTGATTTAATAAACTACCTAGGAGCGCATTCGTATCATCTTTTCGCAGATGATCTAAGTATTTTAATTAAGCCACCTATTTTGAAGGAACTAGCTCAAATGATACAATATATAGAGAAAGAAAGTACTCGAATCTGTAATGAAATATATGGATCCTCGAAGAAATGGAAGCAACCAATAAATGTCACTAAAACGGTGGTACAACTATTTCATACGCAAGTAAAAAGACCTTTAGTAAACGTAGCAATGAACGGAGAAAAAATCGAGTTAGTTAGAGAATTCAAGTACTTAGGGTTCACATGGACAGATAAGCTATCACTGAAACCTACTGTCGATAAATGCATCGCGAATATTCAGAGATCCTTAGGTAAATTGAGATAGTTAAGTACTGGTAGAATTGTCTCACCTAAAGTACTTCGTCAGTGCTTCTTTACATATACATTTCCTCACTTCGCATGGCTATTTTCCTTCTATCCTCTGCTACCAGAAATGCAGAAACAATTACTGAATCAGAAATTCCCTATGGGTCTTAGATTGGTGTATCGCTGTCCATTCATCTCCGCACATAATCTTTCCACTGTAACCTCAGAGTTTCCGTTAGAATTCTATGTTAAAAAGTACATTCAAAGAAGATTGAAAACAATGCACTCGACTGATTTTGGATCTTCACTTTTCTATAATGATATATTCATTTGGAATGAGTTCTACAAAAGAAAAAACGATCACCTTGGTCAATGTTTTCGTTTGCGACGTGTGCGATTACTAATTGATCGACACAAGTCGTTTCTTTTGAAATGGTTGAGTTTTGTTGAAACAAATTACTTCAGACGTGATACTTCTTTCTTTTTTTTGCTTGTTTCTTGTTCTTTTCATTATATCAAGTCTTTCTTTACAAAGAGTAGTTCTCTTTACTCACTCGTTTTTTTCTCTCTGCTGTTCTTGTTTTTTTTCTTTCTTCTCTATGTTATCATCTTTTTCGATTTGGTTTCGTATTTTTCCTTCTTATTTTTTTTTTCTTCTTTTTGGTTATCATTCCTCAATCCCTCTACCAGCATTATCAACTCATCAAGGCATCAATATTACAACAACAACGAATTTTAAAACGCTCAGCTTATATTTGTTATATTTGATTTTAATGTTATAGTACTTTTCTTATATTTCATGTAAGCACTCCTGAGTGTTACATATACCAGCAAAAAAAAATATCGCATTTGTTTTCAAAAGTACTAAGATAATAAGAAAGATCGGAAGTACTCCCTAACAACATTAAAAACTAGCTTTGGACCAGAAATTCCATTCATATACGGTTCTATTTCGTCGAAAATAGGTTCATTTTATGCAGAATTTGTTTCCCTAACAGAGAATATAAGAACCTGTTAAATATTCGATTTTTTTCTATTGATAATTGTCAAATACCGTCTCGATTGGGTCATATTACCTCTAATAATATTTTTCAGCCTTACGAAATTAGAGTTTCTACAGGTGCAGTGATTTGATTTCTTTACCAAATGTGCAACTCAATGTGCTCTTTCTGATGACACTATTTTCGACTTGAAATTTCATCTCTAGTAAAGCACTTCTGCTCAAAATCCTATCATGGAGACCCTGTTTGCGTCTTTTTTCACTAATATTCTATGGTTTTCGAATTGAAAAAAACCCATTTGGCTTCAGACAACTATCGTATCTGAAATTAACACGCAAAACTGAGTCGGCTTGTGTGAGTCAAAGATATCAACTGTGTTAGATTGGTACGGGTACCCATTGGGTTGGCACTTCCATGGGTTAGCCTAACCCAAACCAGTGGCTTGAGCTGACCATTTACATAATTCCATCTCTGACCCACCTATAAAAATTTTCAGATAGATTTTGTGAGTTAATTCAAAAGTCACCTTCGGGCTAATCCATTAAATAATCCATATGTTATAAAAATTAGTTACGAAAAGATTTGTTCAATGGATGTGTCGTTACAATATGAATTTTTAGTCAAATCAAATCCATTATAACTTCGATGAAACTAACCTGGTCGTATTTTGATGAAATTTCTGGTCCAAAGCTAGTTTTTAATGCTGTTAGGGAGTACTTCCGATCTTTCTTATTATCTTAGTACTTTTGAAAACAAATGTGATATTTGTAATCAGCGCACTTGGTACTATTGAATTATAAAGACTTGTAATAGAACAATGACAAAAGACTTTTTTCGATATCTGAGGAAGACCCCGGATGTGAAAAGTTGGGTTGTGACAAAAATAGGACATAAAATTATGAAAAATACTCAGAGTTCAATAGTGACTCTCAAAGTAATAAAATTAGATTCAGATTTTTCGAGGCCTTCGGTCTATAATTCGACGCAACTTTTGGCGTATTGGAATGTGATTATCATGTAATAATGAACTGATAAATCAATAATCATCAACTACATGCTTTACTTTATCTTATTTTACTTCATCTCAGGACTCGAAACGGGCCACTCGGTCCGGCTTGGCCCAATGAAACTTTTTGTTGGGTCGGGCAGATCGAGCTGTCAAGCTCATTGGGCCAGGCGGGCTATGTTTTTTGTCGAGTCGCGCAGGCCTGACGCTTTTATTGTTTTTTTTCAACTTTTTAGTAAACGATATGCTCATTTGAAGAACTCGAAATTATCATGAATGTTTTATGATAGAAAAAGTATCTAAGCTTCAATCCAGTGACTTGGAAAACAAATAATTCCCATTTTAAATGATGAAACGAAAACTCATTTTGGTGTATTATCATGTTCATTCATTAAAACGACCATTTTCATCAATCAAAATCTGTTATCTTGATCCAAAATCACAGTCGTTGCATTTCTTTCGTTAAAATCTTGCTTGCAATCGCTGAATTTGAAGTACATCAAAATTAATGTCCGTTTCATCACCAACAATGCTGTGTTTTACGTGCTTTTGATATAAAACTCGTGACTTTTTTATTTTTGAAGTCTATGAGAGATATGATTAACACAATCCAGTCAAATAATAGCCTATCCCAGTAATATTTCTCGTCTAGTAGTGAAGTTCTACGTTTCAAACATGGTGTTAACTGGTGAGCGCAAATGATTCGCAAAAAAATGCACCGAAAATAAGCCACCACCGAGCATAGGAGCTTTAAATAGCACTTTATTTAACCCTTCACTGTTGATTAGACAGTGATTTCATAGCAAATTTACCATTTTCTGAAAAAAAAGGGCAGTTCTATAGATGTTGTGCAGGGTTCTATGAAAAATTAATCTCACGATATTATTGATGTTCTAGGTTAGAGCTCAATAGAACATAGTCTATTAGCGGGTCGAAAAGTTCTAAACGATTAAATTCGAAGGCTCATCTTCCAAATTTAACTATCAATAAGTTTTTCTTGTTTACAAATTACTTTTCATCACTAGCTAGCTCACTGTATGGTTGAAATAGAAAAAGAAACATCTTCACTGAGATAAGCGGTGAATTTTCTACGAGTATAACTCATTTAAGACATGGTACCATAGAGGATATCTCACTATGTAGCATAAGCATTATGGAGTTCTAAAAGCTTCAATATTTTTGTTTGTTTTACTTAAGAAGCAACTCAATTTCTTACATATTAATTTTGTTTTTAGTTTCAGAGTCTAAGCTAATTAACCTCAGAATAAGGCTGGGTATTTGCTCCCCAGTACATAAACAGCCACTGTAATAATGTATAAGTTTTATTGAGGAAACAAATGTATAAGAAAAATTTTCATTTGGACCCGAGCCGAGCCGGACGGGCGTAGTAGATCCACTGAGTCGGGCCGGGCCGGGCTGAGCAACAGCTGAGTTGGGCCGAGCGGGTCTAAACAGTTTTCGGGCCACACCGGGCCGAGCCAGGCCATAAAAGTGTGGCTCATTTCGAGCCCTGCTTCATCTTACTTGTATGGTAAAGGTAGAGATATTTCACTTTACTTTACTTTACTTTTCGGGTTAAGTAGATTAACTTTACTTTATCAAGCAAAAGTAAAGTAGATTAACTTTACTTTACTCAGTAAAGTAAAGTTATTTTACTTTACTTTACTTCACTTGATAAAGTAAAGATAAAGTGCCACCCCTATGTGTAATCTTGAGATTTTAGTTGATTTTTTATACAGACAATTTTATGTAGTTTAATTTCAAATGATTTATTTTCATCTAATGTGGGGGAATTTTCGATCTTATACGATCATTATCAACCTACAACACAACCAATAACTGATATTACACCCTCACCCTTACCCTCAGCTCATAAGTCAGCTCAAGAGACTACATCCTCATCAAATATCAAATGACGTTTACAGAATTCACCAAGAGATAGAACAATTATTAAAAAACAAAGAAACTGTTGGAAATTTTTTTATCAACACAGAATTATTTCAAAATAAAAAAATCAATGGATATTTATTAGAAAAATCTCTTTGCTATTATTTTTATCTCCCTTCATATCAAAAGAAAAGTGCAAAACATAACATATAAACAACTACATAGGTATTAAGTATCATTCTTACAAAACAGCATGGTGTGAGTGCAGATAATACGGGTTATTTTTGTCAACACTAAAGTCTCTGCTTTGTTCTTTGGACTATAATCTCTTACATAAATTTTGGTCTTTCTTATCAATCTTCTAGTCACTATACTTGCACATCAAAGACAACACAATGACTGATATAGAAAATGCAGCTGACATTATACTAAGAAAATTATCATTTACAAGTTTAACAAGTGAAAATCGATCAAGAACCACTTCGATTGTTGATAATCTTGCTGTTGATTCTCATACTTCTATATCTTCTATTGTACCGATAGTCATCGATGAAACCAATGAGAATGAGGAAGACATCCCACTGTTTCAAATTCGACAAGTCTATAAAAATTTAATAATCATCTCATTAGGATTTGTAATAATGTACACAGCCTTTACTGGCATATTATCACTTCAATCAAGTTTAAATGCAAAAGGTAATGTTGGTGTTAATTCTCTCATCGTTATCAATATTTTTATATTAGTAAGTACATTCTAATAATCTTTGGTAATAAAGAAAAATATTACTATTATTATGCATAGTTTAGTGCAATTTTTCTTACGGGTATTTCAATTGATATTTTTGGACTTAAATGGACTATTATTATCGCTGAAATTGCTTATATTTTATATATTAGTGCTAATATTCGACCTACACCAATATTCATGTATGTCAGTTAGTATTTTCTTTGATGAATTATTAAGCCCCCCCCCCCCCCCCCCAAAATCGATCTCAGCTCCGGAACATCGGGATAGCATGAAACTTTGGGGATATGTTGGGGGTGTAAAAGTACGTCTCTGATAAAATTTTCAGCCTCCTATCCTGATGCATAAGGTACATACGAATCAAAAAAGGGTCGAAAAATAGCTTATCGCAGTCCCCAAATTTCTCTCTGGGTGTTCATTCAATATGGTTCATTGTTTTTTCATATGAAAGAGCATGTCAGAATGCAGTGCCTATGAGGGCCCTTTTTTTAAAATTCTTATTTTTAATAAGAAAAAAAAGGGTTCACAAATTCAATCACTCAAAAATCCCTCAAAAAAATCATGCTTATATTATAAAGTCGCTTTTCAATATAATAATAGAAAAGCTTTATCAAAAAAAGGGCCCTCATAGGCACTGCATTCTGACATGCTCTTTCAAACAAAAAAAAATATTTGACTTTATATCGGATTATAATTGACTTTTTTGGGGCTGCGTCGTTCGACTACAACTTTGAGAAAAAAAGAAAAAAATTTGAATTTTTTAAAAACCGCTGGTTTTTCGAATAGGGGTTGTCAAAAATCTTTAAAATTTTTTGGAAAAAAGGAGATGCCGAAGAAAAATTTTTATCGTTTATATACGGACAAATGACAGGCTATACCCCTATATATTTATCTCGATTTCCATGGTTCTGACGAAAAGTGACTTTTTTGAGGGGGGGACCTTAAATTGATAGATCTAACTATTTTCTTTTAGGTGCAGCTTGTCTTGGCCTTGCTTCTGCACCATTGTGGACATGCCAAGCAACTTATATAAGTTGTATCGCACATTATCATGCACATCATAAACAAAAAAAAGTTGCAGATATTGTTAGTTTATTTTTTGGAATTTTCTTTGCTATTTTTGGTACAAGTACTATTTGGGGAAATTTAATATCCTATTTTATACTTAATCAATCAAATAATCCAGAGAAATTTAATTGTGGTGTTTATTTTGATCCATTATCAAAGAACGAAACTAATAAAGCTCCGAATGTTAGTGACTTAACGGTAAATAGTTTGATTTTGTTTACTATCTATTGTATTAGTAATTTTTATGAATTGAAGCGTTATGTTTTGTGTGGAGTATTTGTTGGAATGGGTATTGTTTCAATGATTCTCTTGTTGTTACTTGATCAAATTCGACCCACTAAGCCACGTAAATAATGATTTTAAATAAATGTGAATGAAAAAAAAAACATTTTTATTTTATAGAACCTGTTGCACAGTCATTAAAAAGGGGTCTTGAAGTTGTTCAATCTTTTTTTCGATGGGAAAATATTGATCAATTACTTCTTAGTCCATTAACAATGTGGACTACAGTTGAAAATGCTTTTATAATAGCACAATTTACTCGAGTATGGAAATAGTTTTAGACAAGATTAGTTTTTAAATCTATTATTTTAGGCATTCATTACTTGTCTTGTTGGTATTCGGTAAGAGTTTTACATATAATTCCCTACTCAACATTGCTAAGCATAGTTTTGAGGAACAGATTTTGTACTGCGAGAAATGACAGTTGTAAGTCATAAGTCTCCCAATGAAGTTAACATTTATCTGATAGTTTCTTCATGCTATATAATTAAAGTGAAATCTGAATCTATTTTATGTTTGTAAATAGCTATATTGGTCTCGTAATGATTTGTAATGGTATATGTAATGCATTGAGTAGTTATATTTTTGGTGATCTTGTTAAATACATTGGTAGAATTGGATGTTTTATAATCGCTGCCATACTTAATTATGTGTCGATTATTGTCATGTACTTTTGGAGACCACTTGAAGATCACATGTATGTCCTGTTTATTATTGTTGGTGTTTGGGGTATTGCTGGTGCTGTTTGGCAATCACAAGTCGTTGGTATAATTCTTTTTTATGCCATATTGATCTTCTCATTGATTATTCATTTCTTTTAGCTGCTTATACCGTCCTTTATTCAGAAACTGATTCAAGTGCTATAGCAAAATATCGTCTTTGGAAAGCAATTGGTTCTCTTGTTACTTACGGTGTAAATATTTCTCAAACTATTTTGTATTTAAAAAAATAATTTATTTAATTTTTTATTTAGTATGCTAGCTATATAACTATTGAACTTACACTTATCATTCTCTTTGTCTTTTTAACAGTAAGCATGATTTTGTGCGGTATCATCGAAATTCATGTACGGTGGAAACAAAACGCACAACATCCAGGTGCGGTTACTAATCAGTGATGATGATATGAAATTGATTTCGTCCTGTTTTTACTTATATATATCTTACAGTTGAGTTTGGAATCTAGTTGAGATTGGAATCACATAATTTACTTTGTTTGTTTAAGGATTTTCGTAACACATGTTCAAGAAAACTTGTTTGTTTCTTATCAAATTTTTATTTACTATTACTTCTTGAACAATAAAAAATATCTTCATGGTGCGGGTGGGTGTGGGCGTGGGTTTTGGTCTTCACTCACATCCATACCCACACCCACACCCTTTTCAGTTTAATTTTCAGTTCTGTTTAATCAAAATGGGCATAACTCTATTATTAAAGAATTCATAGAAGTAATGTTCTCAGGATTACAAAATTCAGAATGTTAAATCCCATAGTTCAAAGACTCAGTAATAATAATTTGCATTTGTTTAATATAATAAAAATGAATTTTACAAAAAGGTTTGCTTATAGTAATATTAAAGATGAAATACAACAGATTTTTCATTTTCTGGTCTATCAAGTTCTATAATCTTCATTAGCAACGGCAAGACTTTTTGTTTTTTGAAATGGAATGGAATTCAAGCCAGGGACATTCTTCAAGTGTTTAATCATTTTTGAGTTGAGACTATGCATATCATGTCAACTGCGTTCGACCTGATAGCATGGCTACTACTAGTGAATCTTTGTGTCATTAGGACAAGATGTATGATGATTTTAATCAGAATAGAAACATATCTGAAAATATCCAAATAAAGAATATTTAACTAAAATTTTGCCTAACGATAGATTTTCAACGAACGAGAACATATCTTCCTTAGATAAGTCTACTTGAAAGTTGGAATATCTCTAGAAAACCAATTTTGTTCTCTTTGAAACTTTCAGAGATTTTTAATGACCATCAAGTCTACCTATAGTCAGAATTTGAAGGTAAGATAGTCTTATCATGACTAAAAGTTCCAGTGAGTTATAGGCCAGAATCTGTTTTTTAGACATTTTTTTATCTCATAGAGAGTGTGATTGAAGATTAGAGATGTTCGAGCTCGGGAACTAGCAAAAATTACTTCTTTCGGCTACGAAAAAAAAGAAGTTGCCCAGATTCGAATCAAAGTAACCTTAATCTTGCATATTTCTACTGAGAATTCAACTTTATCCATGTCGTTAGCTATATCCTACAATAAACAGATTCTATTGATATCTCTCATTGCATAAATTTTCAATTCGAAATTCGAAACTCAATATTTCTAGTAATCACAACTGTGCAGGTACACGGATCTACTCATATTTAGAAGAAAATCACGCCATTCTCCTAACAATGTAAAGTTTTGGGAACAATAATCTATGGATTTTCATTGATTTTGTAGCATTCATAAAGTTTAGATAGTATACAAAGTCCAGATTTCAAAACAATTCTTTACTTAAAAGATTTTTCTTATGAGTCATAAGACTGAAAAGAAATAAGGCATCTCTTTTTCTATTTATTTTCTTTTGAAAATGTCATTTGATGTTGAACAAGTAACACAATCAATAATGTAGTATCATCAAGTATGTTACATGTGATTGATCAGAATTTGATAGTGTTTGTTGCTCATACTAATTGGAAAAAATTAATTAAGAATAAACTAAAAAATAAATTATCATTTTTGTATTTATTTTATCTTTAATATTTTCACAATTTCATTTAATAAATATCGATTACAAGTAATTCTTGCACCAGAAATTTCACAGCTTACTCCTCATGTAATCTAAGGATTTAAGATAATAATAAGTTTCACTTTCTTCTTTCCAAAAAAAAGTTTAAAATTTTTCTTTGTTTCATGCCATTCTTCATCCTTAACTTTTAATCCAAAATAAGAAAAAAAAAGTAGAAAAAAATAATTCAGTGTTTATTTTTACAAACCGTTTAACAGCAATCGGTACAAAACGTTCATCTTCAATTTTATACATATATTCTTTGAAAACACTTTTTTTTGTGCAACTGATGATGATTCTTCTGTAAATATTGGAAATAAAATACGATAATCATTAGGAGCTTCTTTATATGATTGTGTTCGACTACTACATGCTGAAGCAATATAAAAACGTGGAACTGACCGCTTATTTGTTTCACATTGAAGTACAAGAATCATAATTTGGCAAAAAAAAACAAGTAGGAAAGCTAATAACAATAGAATCTACCGAGATGTATTGTTATTGTTTTTTTTTAATTTATCATAGTCACTAAATTTATTAATTGATAGCATAATTATAACGCATTAAAACTCTTTTAGCAGCTTCATATTTAAAGAATACTTGTCACAGACCTGCAGAGTAGTGATCAGCGGAATAACACTTTTTGATTTCGATTTCGAAATTTTTTTTCTCCATTCCAATTCCAACTCCGACTTCGAGAAGAAATTTTTTCGGACTCCGATTCCAATTCTGAAAAATTCTGAAATATTTTCTCGTAGTTAAGCAACATCTGATTCATAACAATTACTTAATATTGTAGATGGATAAAAAAGTAAGCGAATCTTGTTTGTCCTATATGCTAATGATTAACGTGAATGTCTTTCTTGTGTCATTATTTTTTCTTAAAACTTATTTATAAAGCTAAAAATAGCATGTTTTTGTTCATTATGCAGGGTAATCCAACAGTAGCCGTGCAGTCTTTGATTACGAATAACTTTGGATAGGAACAGAATAGAGAACTGTAAGTTTCATCATCTAAAAGAGGAGAAAATACTGCATCAAATCTTGAATACCAGATTTTTATGACAATTTTTCTCAAGGTTTCAAGATAAACTTTTGTAAAACAAAATATTGTGTAATGTAAAAGTTTTAAGCTTTTAAGTTTCAATAGTGCATAAGAAACGTTAACTAAAGTTCAATAATCTGTGTAAGATCAATGCCAAAAAGATTTAGTCAATTATGAGTTCTTAGAATTTTATTACGTATTTTTGGCAGATTTTTCGGATGTGGATGTGAGTGTGGGAGGTGGGAATGGATGTGGGTGGGACTGGATGTGAGGGGGGATGGATGTGGATGTGAGTGTGAATGTCGTTTGTTCCTCGTAGACGGTAACAACATGCATACCTACATCCACTGCCACTTCCCACACTCTCATCCACACCCACATTCTTATAGATTATTCTCAACTTGGGGTGTGACTGTAAGTGGAGATGTGCATATTAGTGCCGTCTACGAGGAACAAACGATATTCACACCCACAGCCTCATCCTCATTTTCAAATTGAACAATTTTTACAATTGCGATCACTTAGATTAATTGAGGATCTATATCATTACGAGCTATTTTTTATAACTTGAACAAACTCAAAGAATTACGTTCTCTTTCATTTAGTGTTCAAACAATCAGAGATAAAGGGTGGCATAGTATTAATGCAGTCGATAGTTTATTCATTCATAGTTATACTCAGATAATAATTCAAACAGATCGTTGCTTTTGAACTGAATATATTATATTGATATCTATATTATTTTGACAGCTTCACCATCTAAAACTTGGACAATATTCACGTAATGAATTTGAAATAATTTTTGGACATACATCTCAACTCAAATCGTTCTATACTTCTCTGTATTTGTACTCTTTAAACTTTGGACTTCATGTATATCAAGCAATCAGCTGATTCGACTTAATCTAGAATTTGAAAGTACGTATAAAAATAAAAAAATATATATATGTTATGATCTGAAAAATTTCTAATTCTCAAAGAATGATTTACAAGATGTTTCTGTAAGTTCGTTAAATCTATCATATGTTGATTTAGCGAAAAATATTCGAACAAATATTCTTGCTTTTTTTTTATCGTGCATATCAATGAGAAAAACGAAGATCTTGTATGATTGAAATTAATTATGAAAGTTAGTATGATGCGTTCGAAAAATAGAAGATGATAACGAATAATTGCTTCAACAGTTTACTCAAAGCAGGCACGCCATCTTATTGTTACTATTTCGAGTTTCGTCTTATTTACGTAACATTGTGCTTGAAACAAGCGGCACACCTGGTGAAAATAAAATACACTTGCAACAACATTCATATTGTAAGGATAGAGAAAAAGCAAAAAACATTGGCCCACAAGAAGATATCATTTTTAGATAAGTAATCTTTGCTGTAGCTGGTCATCAGGTGCTAGCCGATTATTTGAAGTCTATTCATATTACCCAACCAACGTTAAAGATATTGATATTGAAATTCGAAACTGAATCAAAGCATCATCGATAGACATGACTGATCAAAGATTGTCGGTATTCATTTATTTCAGTTTTATTTTGTTATTTTCTGGTTCAAATTCGACTCGCATTTCACTCATTGGTGATAACTGGTTAGTGAGTAATGGTTCAACTTTACGAACTATCGGTGCAGTTCCTGGAACAATACATACTATACTCTTGTCTGCCAAAATGATTGACGATCCTTATTGGGGTTTTGGTGATACTGCGATGCGTTCTTTGATCTATCAATCGTGGACATTTACTAAAAACTTTTCTCTTCAAGTAGATTTTCTTAATTTGACTCAATTTACGCTTCATTTCGATCAAATTGATACTGTTTCGAATATTACACTTAACGAATGCTTTCTGGGCAATACAAGTAGTATGTTTATTGCATACACATTCATTGTTCAAAGAACTTGTTTGCGTATTGATAACGTACTTCGTGTCGAATTTATGTCTCCTGTAACCTACGCACTTAATCAAGCTATTTCCTACAATAAAACTGTTCAGCCAACTTGTCCGAGTTCAGCACAACATGGTGAATGTCATGTTCAATTCATTCGCAAAGAACCTTGCTCATTCAGTTGGGACTGGGTAAGTTATAAATAACTTGAATAGGGTGTAAGTGACTTTTTACCCGCACCCACATTCATCACTACATTTAGACATGTTTGTTTCTTTTAGGGTCCAGCTTTTGCACCTATTGGTATTACAGGAAATGTTTATCTAGAAGGAATAAATAGTTCTGTTCCACCATTACAACTGGACAGTGTCAATGTTATTTCACAGTCATCGGCAACAAAGGTATGGCAAGTGGATGTACGGCTAAGCGGTGGTGATAACACAACTATGTATAAATTTGGTTTTCAATTAAAAAATACTGCTTGGTCATTCAGTGCAACTGTTAAATTTAATCAAAAAATCACAATTACTCTTTCAGTTCCTAACGAACACGTTCAACTTTGGTGGCCAAATGGATATGGTGATCAACCGCTCTACGAATTAATTGTAAGCAATAATAATCAACCAATCGATTCACGATTTATTGGATTTCGAACTGTTGAACTTGTTCAAAGTAATTACAGCGATGGTATTAATGGTACATCATTTTATTTCCAGATCAATTCTCGACCTATATTTGTCAAAGGAAGTAACTGGATTCCGTCTGATTCATTTCAAGAACGAGTTACTAATGAAAAACTCGAACAGTTACTTACTTCAGCTAAACTAGCTAATATGAATATGTTACGTATATGGGGTGGTGGAATTTATGAACGAGATTATTTCTACGAAACTGCTGATCGTTTAGGCATTATGCTCTGGCATGATTTTATGTTTGCTTGCAGTTTGTATGTATCATCATTTTGCTTTTCTAACAAAAATGAAAATAGATTATCAATGTTTATAAAGATATCCGGTCGACGATGTATTTCTACTAAATGTTCGAAATGAAATTTTATATCAAGTAGAGCGTCTTCAGTCACATCCATCAATTGTCCTCTGGGCGGGTAATAATGAAAATGAAATGGTTCTTGCATATTATACCAGTATAATACCTCCAGAAGAGCGTGAACCTTTGAAAAATGATTATAGAAAATTGTATATCTACACAATAATGGCCGCTGTTGCTGAAGTAGATCCAAACGGTAGTCGTCCATTTGTTCCATCATCACCATCGAATGGTATCGAATCCATCAAAGAAAACTATACAGCACAAAATCCACAAGATCCTTTATTTGGTATGCATAGAAATTATGTTGTCATTTATAAGAAAAATATATCTGAATTTAGGTGATGTTCATTATTACAATTATTATATGGATACATGGAATCCAGATAATTATCCAATAGCACGTTTTATGTCTGAAACTGGTGTTGAATCTATGCCAAGTATTGAGACATGGCAACAAGTATCGAATTCGACTAAAGATTGGAACTTCACGAGTGTACTTGTACAAAATCGTGAACATCATGGCAATGGTCAACAGGAAATGATGTTCGTTTCAAAAAACAAATATACCAATTCTTTTAAGAAACATGATCTAAAATGAGTGTTGAAGTATATAGGGGTAGAAAATTGTAACTCTCTTTCACAAACTATCACAGATACCTTAGGTAGTGATACAAAACTGAAATATATATATTCGTAAACTTCCTCAGTGTTTTACGTTTTTATGCCACTAGTTCTGTTTATGATTATGTTTTAGGTTACAAATTGAGAGAAATTTACCATTACCAGTAACCAATAACAGCTTGACAAACTTTACTCAACTGATCTATTTGACTCAGGTCAATCAAGCAATGACATTGAAAACTGTTAGCGATCATTGCCGTTTTAATTCACCAGTAGATATGATCAATCATAATACTAGTCAAGGGTAAGAGATTCTATTTGTTTGATGTAAACTTTTCATTTTTGAAGTTTAAAAATAATACACTGAGAAGAAATTTGTTTATTGATTTTGATTTTTAGAAATACAATGGGTCTTATGTATTGGCAACTGAACGATATATGGCAAGCACCAACATGGTCATCTATTGAATATGGATTAAAATGGAAAATGGCTCATTATTATGCTCGACATATGTATTCACCTGTGTATTTAGTAATGAAATTAACACCTTATTTGCCTTCAGTCAATGATCCAACTGCTCGACTTTGGCTCTATCATGTCAATGAATTTGTTAATAGTACATTTAATGATGTTATTTGTACCGTAAAATCATTAGATAGATTTGATTCTCGTATGATCACAGTGTACACTGTTGTTGCTAATTCACCCGGCGTAGAATTAGTTGATGTGTGGATTTATGCGTTATTAATGGAACAGAGTGGTTGTTCAACCAGTAATCAATGTCTTATGTTATGTTCGCTATATCATTTAGGTGAACAACTGAGCGAACAACAGACAATTTTTTTTGCACGTCCAAAGGATTATCAATTATACAATCCAAATCTTCGAACGGTTTCTGTTAGACAAAGATCATCTACTGAAATTGATTTTACAATCAATGCTGATAAACCTGCTCTTTTTGTTTGGCTCGATCTATCCAATGATGTTAGTGGTTATTTTTCAAGAAACGGATTTCACATGTTTGAGTCAGAAATTATAGTTACATTTAAATCATGGACATCTTTGACAAATATTGATAGTGCTAATTTTGATTTACGTATTACTTCATTGTATGATGTTACAAAACGGTGATTTTCTTTCTTTTTCTTCACTAAACAAATAAATTTATCACTGACACTTTTATATCATATCACCATTTACAAATGGAACATACAAGACATAATGATGTGCACTCCGTTGGCCCTAGCCGGACGCTTCTATATAATATCAACTTGAGGGTGTGGGTGTGGGTTGATGAATCAAATATCAACTCCCGCATGCACACATTTACACCCACCCGGATTTCCACACTACACATAGATATAAATTATTTTCTGTGAAAATTATATTTTTTTCTAAAGAAATATGATATCAACTGTCACTTGTCAGAAGAAATGACACATAATAGTAGTGAAGTGGAAAAAATAATTGAAATGAAAAATCGCTGAGAAGGATCATCCCCCTAAAATTTTGTTTTAAATGTTTTCACTTGAAAAACTAACAAACTATACTTCATTCAATGTAGGTTTTTGCGCTGATTCTGCATATTCAATCGCTTTGTTTGAAGATAAACAACACATTGAAAATTAGAAAATCTAAAATATTTTGTTTTTTGAAAAGTCTCTAACTCACTTCAGAAGCATTAACGCATCTTTGCGGTAACTAAGTAGACATACCAGGTAGAAAAAAAATATTTCATGATAATTTCGTTTAGTTTGAAGCTGTACTAAGGTGTGCGCGT